TCTGGAGAGAGAATCTAATTTTTATACCTCAACCCTGAGCTTGTGTTAGCTTTTTCCCATTGATAAGACATTTATGACAAGAAATCTGGCGAGGTTTAAAAAATCTATTTTAAGTATAAACTGATTAGCACTTTTGTAAGAATAGTAAATAACACAGTGACATGCATTGGAATAACATTAGCTGGAGACAGGTAATTTGAATCAAAACTGGAAAAGCATGCCCTCCTACCTTCATTTCCCTTTGGTTAGGCCTAAGAAAGGCTCACAGATTCTGTCTCACTGGGTTGTTATGTTACTCTCCAGAGGCCTTGAAGACTTGTGTCTGAGGGTGTAGATGGCTCATACCAGTATCTGTGTTAGTTGCAGTGTGTGTGTGTGTGTGTGTGTGTGTGTGTGTGTGTGTGTGTGTGTGTGTGTGTGTGTGTGTGTGAGAGAGAGAGAGAGAGTGTGGTCAGGGGATCCATTGCTTTTCCCAACCAGGGAAAAAAAGCAAAACAGAAGGTAATGACCATAGTTGTGACAAAGTCATTGGAGTTTGAGTAGTACCAGTTGCTGGAACACCAGTTTAAACCAGTTCACAAATTGACTCAATGCTATCCATGATTATATGTTTTATCAGGCACTACTGTAGAAAAGACAGACGAATAAGACTAGAAGCTTGTTTTCAAGGTACTCTACATCTAGTTAGAGAAACTGCACATGAACAAATTCTAATATAGGCATAGTACACTAGAAGAGTGTACTATGTTTCTACAGGCACCTATAATGCCATTTTCTACCTGTGGAGAGGAGAGAAATCACGAAGGGCTTCACTTTAAGCAAGAGCATTTGAGATTCATCTTGAAAAATGATCTTGCAGGAGCTGTGGATAGGGAAGTGGAGTAGAGAGAAAGACAGTCCTGGCTAAAGAACTTCCATGAAATCCCTGGATCTCTCATTCCAGTCTAAGGAGGTGCTATAAAATCATAGGTACGATGACTGGTCTTAAAATGTTCTATTAGCCTTGCATATAGTGTTCTTCTAAATCAGAATTCAACTTCTTAAGTCCTATTTCCTTTTTACTGTGTTTTTCCTTTTTTATATTCAATATTCTAAATATTCTTCTTTTTATGTTCTCTTTTTATAACTAATATAATATCATATGATAAAACAAAATTAACACACCAGAATTGGACAAAACAAACAAAAGGAAAAGAACCCAAGAGAAGGCATTAGAGATCCACTTGTTTGCACACTCAGGAATCCAATGAAAACACTAAACTGAAAGGTATTATTTATGTAGAGGGCCTGGTGCAGACCCATTCAGGCCCTGTGCATGCTGCCTATCTCTGTGAGTTCATATGAGCTTCAGTCATGTTCATTTAGAAGGCCTTGTTCTCCTGATGTCCTCCATCCCCTCTGACTCTCACAATCTTTCCACCTCCACTTCCACAAGTTTTCCTGAGCCCTGAGGGAAAGAATTTGATGGAGACATCCCATTTGGGGCTGAGTGTTCCAAGGTCTCTTACTCTCTGTATACTGCCTGGCTGTGGGTCTCTGCATTTGTTCTCATCTGCTACAGGAGGAAGCTTCTCTGATGATGGCTGAGCAAGGCACTGATCTATGAGTATAGCAGAATCTCATTAGGAGCCATTTTATTGCTATGATATTTAGTAGATCAGTAGTATTTGGTTTTACCCAACATCCCTGGGTCATCTAGTTTCAGGTTCTTGGTCACCCAGGCAGTGTCAGGTGTGGGCTCTATCTCATGGAGTGAACCTTAAGTCAAATCAGTTATTGGTTGGTTCCTCCCACAAGCTTCGTGTCACCATTGCCCTAGCATATCTTGCAGAAAAGACAGAATTGTAGATCAAATGGTCAGTAGATGGGTTGGTGTTGATATTTCTTTTTGGGTATTTATTGTGCAGAGTACTTCCTGTACCAAAGACACTAGAATGTAGGGGCGAAGACTCTGTGGAGGCACCAGTTCAGCTTCTCCATGTTCAATGAGTTATGTGGGTGTTGTCTTCAGCAATGAGGGAGGCAGTGCCATCAGTTTGTGGAGAACAACCTATATTATGTTCTCTTAATATGTGTTTTTTTTCTTCTAGGTATTTTACATTGGAGATTCTCTTTGCCAGGCATGTTTTTCCCTTTCTCAGTTCTTTCCCATTCTCTCTTTCACCTCTCTATCTTTTCCCTAGTCAGTTGTACTTTGACACATTCCTTAATTCTTACCACTCCTAACAAAATTAGTCTCTGTCCTTTAGGCTCTTAAAAATCTTTGCTCTCTTTCATGTTTACCCATCACTTTTTTAATGTCTGGTATTACCCAAAAGGCTATATGATACTGCTTATCTCTAAAGCGCCTGGTTTAGAGTGTGGTCTGTGCTCTATAAAATTTGCTTTAAAATGACATTGAATGGTATGAAAAGCTGAGAGAGAATTTGGGTAACAGTACATGCTGGGCTAAAAGTGGTATGTATAAGAAGATATAGCAGATAATATATCCTGAAACTATGCTGTGGAGTAATTCAGAAGGACACTACAGAGTTATAAGTTGTGAAGAACTTTAGGATCAGTGGTAGTGGTAGAGACAAATGTAGGGAGATAAGGCCAGGCATGATAAGTCATGCTTGTAATCCCAATACTCGAGAAACTGATGCAGGACGATCATCACAAGTTTGAGACTAGCCTGGGCTATAGAGTGAGACTTTGTCATAAAAAAGCAAAGAGGTAGTTTAGGAAATAAAGTTCAAGTGTACAATCTGAAAAAATAAAACAAAAATCTCTAGAATCAGGGATCAGGAAATAGAAATGGAAAGAAGATATTGGCCTTCAGCAGAACTATAGAAATGTGCTGTAGAGACTGAGTGAGGGAAAGTAGTCAGCATATAGCAGAAAGAGGTAGAGAAGTTAATACATAGTTGTAAAAAGAACATTGTAAGCAGATGGGTTTCAGGCCAGAGTAACCCCAGAAAAGTCTTTATGCAATATGTTTATGTGAATAAAGCAGGTGAATATTAAGACTGTCAGGTCCCACATGGATAATGAAGCTAACCTGGGCGTAGATGTCACAGTGGAAAATGGGCAATCAACCAGGAAACTGGTACTGATGGTAGGTAATCTACAGGTTTTATCAGAGACTGAAATGAAACAAGAAGCCAGTACTGTTGTACCAGACAAGTCCATAGAAGGTGTTCCAGGCCAGTCTAGCTAGCCTTGTCTATAACCATTTTTCCCAGTCAAATTCTAGTCAGCAGAAGAAAGTTAGTAGCAGATAGCATTTTAATCCATAATTCTGCCTGGTAACTCTATTTTTCTGAGACATCACAAGATTTCAAGGATCTAGGTTAGAAATATGTACTTAATGCTTTAAAATTTAAAAAAGGTGTGTGTGGACCTTGAGAGCTTGTTTGGAGGTTCTAGCAGGGAAGTGCAACTACTCATATATGTTTAACCAAAGACTGGTCCTCTTCTATCAAGGGAAGGTCATCCTCTAGTATGGCTTCTGGAGGGGCACACATGGAGCAGTGAAGGAGGAAGGGGACACCTGCCTAGTCAGCCAGATCAGCCAAATCAACGTGGCAATCATTGGGTTGACAGATGTCACAGCCAGATTGTACACCTGTCAGAATGACTAAGATCAAAAACACAAGTGACTGCTCATGCTGGCAAGGATGTGGAGCAAGGTGAACACTCCTCCATTGTTGGTGGGAGTACAAACTTGAACAGCCACTTTGGAAATCAATATGGTGGTTTCTCAGAAAATTAGGAATCAATCTACCTCAAGATCCAGCTATATTACTTCTGGGCATATACCCAAATGACACTCCATCCTACCACAAGGACATTTGCTCAATTATGTTCATAGCAGCTTTATTCATAATAGCCAGAATCTGGAAACAACTTAGATGTTAACTGAAGAATGGATAAAGAAAATGTGGTACAGTGCATCAAGATCATAATGGGGAAACATGCAGGGACGACCAAACCAAACTAGTGGGAACTCATTTAAGTTGGATCAATGGCTGTGGAGCCTGCATAGGACTGGGCTGGGCCCTCTGCATGGCAATACAGTTGTGTAGCTTGATCTGCATGGCGGTGGGATTAGAACCCATCCCTGGTGCATGAGCAGGCTTTTTGGAGCCCACTACCTATGATGGGACACCTTATGCAGCCTTGAGGCAGGGGGAGGGGCTTGGACTTGCCTCTACTGGATGTGCCTCCTCATGGGAGGCCTTCCTTCTTGTGGGGGGGAGTGGGGGGTGGGTTGGGAGGGGGAGGCTGAGGGTTGGGAGGAGGGAAGAGGGGGATCTTTGATTGGTGTATAAAATGAATGGAAAATTTTTCTTAATAATAAAAAAGAAAATGTGGTACATTTACACAATGGAGTATTACTCATCTGTTAAAAAATGACATCATGAAATTTGCAGGCAAATGGATGGAACTAGAAAAAAAATCACTCTGAGTGAGGTAGCCCAGACTGAGAAAGACAAACATGGTATGTATTCACTCAAATGTGGATATTAGCTATAAAAGAAAGGATAACTGTGTTACAATCCACAGACCCAGAGAGGCTAAGTAAAAAGGAGGGCTCAAGTAGGGATGCATGGATCTCACTGTGAAGGGGAAACAGAATAGATTTTGCGGGTGGACTTGGGGCAGGCCAGGATGGGAACAGGAGAGATCAGGTTGTGGGAGGGAGAAATGATTGGAATTGGGGGACATTTGGGGGATGAGGTAGAAACAGTGCAATGGAAACTCCCTGGTATCCACAAGGGTGACCCTAGGGAAGACTCCTAGTAATGGGGGATACAGAGCCTGAACCAGCCATCTTCTATAACCAGGCACAGCATCCAGTGGTGGGACTGAGACACCAACCCAGCCACCAAACCTTCACCCTTCCATCTGTCCTCCCTGAAAGATATGCTGGGGTAAACATGGCACAGAACTTGTAGGAGAGGCCAATCAATGACTGGTCCAACCTTGAGACCCACAACACAAAAGGGAGCTCATACCTGATATTGCCTGGAAGGTCAGGAACCAGAGTCTGGATAGCCCAGAGACCTAGGATAGAACCAAACACAATTGAAAAAAAAATCAATGAAATTATTCCTAATAATATTCTGCTATACTCGTAGACCAGATTCTAGCCCAATCATCATCAAAGAGGCTCCATCCAGCAACTGATAGGACCAGATGCAGAAACCCACAGCCAAACATTAGGCGGAGCTCAAGGCATTTCATGGAAGAGAAGCAGGAAGGATTGTAGGAGCCAGAGGAGTCAAGGACACGACATGAACAAGGCCCACAGAATCAACTAACCAGGGCTCATAGGGGCTCACAGAGATTGAAGTGACAACCAGGGAGCCCGCATGGGTCTGACCTTGGTCCTCTGCATATGTTATGGTTGCGTAGCTTGGTGTTCTTGTGAGACTCTTAACAGTGGGAGTGGACGTGTCTCTGACTCTTTCGCCTGTTTTAGCACCCTTTTCCTCCTACTGGGTTGCCTCGTTCAGCCTTGATATAATGGTATGTGCCTAGTCTTATTGCAACATGATGTCATGTTCGGTTGATGTCCTTTGGAGACCTACACTTTTGTGAGGGAAGCAGAGGAGTGGATCTGGGGGAGAGGGGAGGAGGGGAGACTGGGAGGAGAGGAAGGAGAGGAAACTACGGTCGGGATGGAATATATGAGACAAGAATAAAAAAAGTGTGTGTGTGTGTGTGTGTGTGTGTGTGTGTGTGTGTGTGTGTGTGTGTGTGTGTGGTGTGTGTGTGCATAGTGTCCAGAAGAGGGCACAGATTCCCAGAGCTGGATTTACAAGAGGTTGTGAGCCACCCAACATGAATGCTGGGAACTGAATTCTGGTCCTCTGCAAGAGCAACAAGTGCTCTTAACCACTGAGCCATCTCTCTAGCCCCCTACATAATATTTTAAGTACCAAAAAATACTTAAATAACCAATCATACAACTTTAAAAAATATTAAGAATGGGAACATAAAAATGATCACAAAGAAACTCTAAAGCAGCAGTTTTCAACCTGTGGGTTGTGACCCCCATGGGGTCAAAAGACCCTTTCATAGGATTCACCTAAGACTATTGGAAAACACAGATATTTATGTTATGATTTATAAAAATAGCAAAATTATAGCTATGAAGTATCAATGAAATAATTTTATGGTTGGGACTCTCACAGCACGAGGAATGGTATTAAAGGGTTGCATCATTAGAAAGGTTGAGAACCACAAAATTCATATTTCTCCTTAAAAAATCCATTTATTTTTATTTTTTCTTTTAGTTTTGAGATTCTAATATAATTACATCATTTCTCCCTTCCTTTTCCTCCCTCCAGACACTCTCATATACCTCTCCTTGCTCTCTTTCAAATTCATGGTCTCTTTTTTCATTAATTGTTTATATATATATATATATATATATAAAATATATATAATTTATATACGTATGTATATAAATTCCTAAATACAACCTGTTCAGTCTGTATAATGTTACTTGTATATATGTTTTCAGGGCTGAACATTTGATATTGACATGAAAGCAGGGGGGCTGTGGGAGTCTGTACTGAGGCCTTCATGGGTGCTCTCAGGTATGCAGACAGTGCACCGGACCTGTTCAAATCCCAGGAAGAAGGGCTGGTTGTTGGAGAGACCCAGGGTAGGCAGTATCTGCTCAGCTCCATTCTTCTTCATCCAGTTCTGGCAAGCCCCGTAGGCTGCCTTGAGGCCCCCATTGTGGGCAGTTCTCCCCAGCAGTGTGGAGATTGTTCACAATGTAGTTGCTGTATTGCGACACACATTGGTCTACTGCTTGAAGGCCTCCATCGATGAGTTCTTCCATCAGGGCTGGAGGTTCCCATCCTTGTCATATTCCTGGTTTATGGCCCAGGATGATACCAATGCCACCAAAGTTCAAGGTGTTGGGTACAGAGTGGGTATAGAATGGTGCCTACAGGATTCCAGCTGGAAACACAACCTCACTTTTGGTGGGTGGGTGGGGGTCATACTCCACTGATCTCTGTTGGGGATTTTCCTAAGCTGGGTGTCTGTGACTCTCCATGAGATGCTGAAAAATCAGATCTGGAAACAGGCTTTGGGACTAGAGCTCAACTTTAAGCAGGGGGGAGGAGCCCCACAATCTGAAACCCCATCCCCACTGAGATGGTGCCTTTGAGGGAGGTCTTGGGATGTTCTTCTGCCTGTTGGCCAACTCTGGATACAGGTGACCTCCTCACTGGGCTTAGCAAGGACCCAGGCAGGGACATCAGAGCCTTTTTCCTCCAGTCGGCGCCAGCAGAGCCACCATGGCAGGTAAGCAGCATCCCCAGGAAGGGAGCCTTGTATGTACAGTGACTCCTGCACCGCACCTGGGTCAGGGGTTGTCCAGCTTCTTTGGGTCCATGATTAAGATAGCGTAGTCTATCATGTTGTAGATGACACCTGCCTTTTTCTTGGCCAATTTCTGGGTGTCTTCATCCATCCACTTCAGGGTGCTCAGGCTCTCTTCAAATGCTTTCTTGATCTCCAAAATTATCTCACTGGTTAAGTTCTTGCTGTCTTCAGTGGAGGTCGCTTTCACAAGCATGGGGCCCAGGGCAAAGTTCAGATTATTTTCTGTGTCACTCACACAAAATAGAAACTTACATCAGGGGAGGCAGGTCTTCTCTGACCCATATATGACCTACACGAATTCATCATTGTTCTGAGAGCACTGACCCAGGAAGGAGCTTGTTTTCTGTACCAGGTTCTGCATCATGTAGTTGTTCATCAGGCATTTGTTGGTGTTGTTGATGAGGATAGAGACTTGTCCCATGTGTTAGTTGTTGTTGACTATGATGAACTCAGGCTCATCGATCTCTACCGGGTTAAAAAAAAATGGTTTTGAGAAAAGGTAACCAGTTGATGGGGATGCCAACCTCTGCAGCTGGGCTCCTGTGACTTTGTAGTAAATGAGCTCCTCATCCTGGCACATCTCCTGGGAGACAGTGATACATTGGCTAGCACTATTTCAAAGTCCATGATCTGCTGTATCTGGGGTTGGATGGAGTCCTCATTCCTACTGCCCAGCAGCTTCCCTCAGTGGACTGTGTAGTTAAGATATTCAGTCAGCACCTTCTCATTTTCTACCTTGTTCAGGTCTCTAAGAGGACAAGCTGAGGCTGGACTGGTCTATTTGGATCATATTGCTGTTGGCTTTCTTGGACTTCACACTGACATAGACAGAGAATGGTGAGGTTAGGTGGTGGGGTGTGATCATCTGCAGCATGTCTTCAAAACTGTCCTTGGTCCAGGGTCCTGTGATAGTCCTGCCCCAATGTTTTCAATAAGCTCCATCAGGGGCTTGGCCTGGACTCCTCAATCCTCATTTTGTTCTTACACACATGCTTGTACACTTGGGCGTTCCTTGGGCTTTGTTCAAGCTGGCAGTGGAACTTTTGAGCAAGCACTTCAAGATGGCTTGGTTCTGTTTGCAGAGGTTGCTGAAGCTCCCCCAGTGTGAGTGGTCATCAGGTACGGGGTTGGCCTTGATCCAGACCCCACAGACACAGCTGAAGAAGTCCTGGCAGGGGTTTACAGTGGGGCCCATGGAGTTTAAGATGAAACTGGCCACTGAGACTCAGGTCTTCCTTAGACATACCGGGGTCGTTCTTGTCTGGTACTGGATGTCTCAGGCTGCCAGGCAGACAACCAGCTCTGTTGTCAGAAACTACACCAGAACCACCAGCTGCTTCTTCACTGGGGTGGGCTGAGCACCCCTGGCTGCTCTGGGAGCTGCAGAAGTTCACCTGCAAGGCAATAGGGTACATGTTGCCTGCAGAAAGTGAGTCCATCAAGTATTCCTTGTCCAGTGTGGCTTGCTTGTAGGTCGACATATCGCTGGTGGGCTATGCACCGGGTTTCTGGCAGCACATCCCTTTGGGGTTGGGCTCCTGACTCGGCGCAGCTGCCGCCACTGTATTCCCACTGTGTTCTTTTTCCTCCATTTGTCTGTAAAATCCCCTGCTGTAGTATGGATACTCGGCTCAGCTAAACGGGTAGGAGCCATTTTAGGTGATTTTATGATTGCATCAATAAAGAAAGAAACTTTCCCCTTGTTCTCTGAAGCATCACAAAGTGAATGTAATCCAAGAGCTGACATGCTTCTTCGAGCTCAGGGCTTTTTATCTTTATTATTTAATTTTCTTTTTCTAATACACACACACACACACACACACACACACACACACACACACACACACACACACACCCTTCTGTTTTGGAGTAAACTGTCCAGGTTTATGGAGATGTTGAATTACAACTGAATAATATTTATGCTGTGGGTCGAAGCAATCTCATATATCAAATTCCGCAGTGCAGATCCACTGTGAAAACTCACTTGGCCCTCATATGTGATATTCTTTCTTTAAACTGTTACCTATATACTCCCATGTCTTTAAATTTACAGCACCTTCTTCAGGGAGCCATGGGAAGTGTTAAAAATAAAAATAGAGAACTTTTCTACGCTCTTTAGTGACACATTACAAGGAGTGGAAAGCAGGAGCGAAAGAAGCATCTATCTGAAGGAGGAGAGCACCCTTTCGAATCTCGCAGTCTCGGGGTTACTACTGGCCCTTTCCGTTCTTTCCCTTTGTTAAACTTTTCATTTTACTTATTTATTTTTAGCCAGTCTCATAGTCTGATTCTTTTACCTCTTTTATATATTTATCACGGCTGTACTCACTCTTGATTTCTCCTGTATTACTGCCTTACAGTTGGGTACCACTTGACCTGAACCCACATGAATAAGGGTCTCTATCAGCTAGGTGTCAAGTGGGAGGACCAGGGCGTGAGGAATAAAAGAGATAAAAGCAATAGTTGGGATCAGGGGAAAATGGCCAAGGTCAGCAGAGAGCTAAATCAGCTAATGTTGGCAAAGAAAATACAGGATACCTCAAGACACTACTGTCTTAGGACTAATAACCACAGCCCCAGGGGAAGATTCAGATTCCTAGAAACCATACACTTGACCCCTTCCAGGCTGGATCTAGCCAAGTCTGCTCCTGGAGAGA